CGCCCACATGTTGCGCGGACTGTTAGAGACTTCTGTTCAGCACAACGCATGCAACTTCTTCCTTGGCCTGCTTATTCGCCGGATATGTCGCCTATTGAGCACGTGTGGGATATGGTTGGTCGGCGTCTCACTCGTGATCCGCGTCCTGCAGTTTCCAAAGACGAACTTTGGTTGCGCATACAAGCGATATGGAATTCTCTTCCTCAAGCAGATATTCAACATCTGTTTGACTCCATGCCACGTCGTATAGCAGCACTTATTGCAGCGCGTGGTGGCTGCACCAAATACTGATTTCGGACGCTTAATTTGTTTCTTTTGTTTTGAAAATTTCATCATTTATTTGTATCAGTACAAGTCGTTTCTGCATTAAATTTCATTTGATTCTGATGATTCTTTCATGGTGTTGCATTTTCTGCAAACAGCAGTTTAATATTTCATAAGACTAAACAACTTTCGTCATTTAAATGCATCTATTGTCTTCAAATAGTCTGGTTATGGTTATGATTGTAATAATTACAGATTATGTCACTTTCCATATTTGTTTGAAAAATTTTCAAAAATGTTTAAAGCTCAGATTTGTAACTGGAAGTTAGTACTCAGAAATATTTCAGGCAAGAAAAGGTCTTGCTTCTTTAAAGCTTGCTTCTATAAAGAAGATTGCAGCTGAGAGTATGGGTCAAAATTAGATCTGTCACTACTGACCACAGTTCAATCAAATACACTATCTGCCAATAAGTAATTTACGCATATGATAAAAGAGCTTTCACATAGTTGGTAGTACAAGTGGAGGAGGTTGTGCCCCACATGAAGCAATTAATCGTCTTAACTTTCCGGCTTTTTGCAAGTGTTTGGATGATGTGCAGTGGTATGTCCTCCCACTCGGTTGGAGAAGACATGCAAGTTCTTTTTCCGATTATTGACGGTTGCTGTATCCAACGATCTAAATAGCCCTAGAGGTTTTCTATAGAATTTAGGTTCTGGACAGGCCAGTTTATCCAATTGTCCTTAAACTAATCCATGGTCAACCTCGCAGCATGACAAATGTCATCCTGGAAGTAATAGTGACCCAACCCGTAAAATTGCAGGAAGCGCATTGTTGTCTGGAATAGTGCAATAGGAGTAGGCGTTTAGCTTACGATGAGTTAGGATCAAAGGTCCATATCACGAAAGACATCCTCACACTGTAATTCCACCTTCGTCAAATATTACTGCAGGTACAATGCATTTTGACACAAGGCGTTCTCCTGGCCAAACCCAGACAATGCCATCCCAATGTCAGAGATGGATTTATCACTCTAGAGAACTCATCGGCGTTCAATTTTACAACAGAATTCATCAAATTTTCCCTCATCTACGGTCCAATTTGGACGTGCTTTGCAAAACCTCAGCTAGACAGGGTTAGTGAGGACGTAGATCATGAAATATTAGACTGAAAAGTTATTCAAAAATAATGTAGTTATATATCTTGAGACTGTAATAAAATCAATTACAAATTATTAAATAGAAACAAAGAAAATCAAAAAATAACTTATTTAAAGGCAGAATTTTACAAAATCGCTGCAATGCCAGACGACGTCATACGATTTTTCTTTCCCCAGGTAGTGATGTCATTTTCGACCAATAGCGTGACGCGGCTACTTTGAAATATAATCGCTCGTGTTCTCCAGGTATGCGTGAAACCCAGGCCCTTTTTCAGATTGAACCTTGATTCATCACTCTAGAGAACCTGTTTCCATTCATCTACGGTTCAATTTTGACATGCCTTGCACCACCTCAACAGAGCTATGCGATTGGATTTATGAATCAAAGGCTCAAGAGCAGCAATGGAAATTAAGCAAATGATGTTTTCTTGAGGGTGGAATTTATTGAAACGGCAGTCCCGATGCTGGAACTTCTGGACCATCGGTTTGGTGTGGTTTTCCAGAAATTTTTTGGGCAGCACTCGTTGGTCTTCATCTGTTGGAGTGTCGGGTCGAAGTACATTCTGACAATTACCCTCCACTGCTTGATTACAAAAACCACGATCGGTTTTAATATGTTTAACTCATTAGACATAAATAACCAGCCATTACTATGAAGTCAAAACGTTTCGTACTGTTTTCTACGCAATAGTTAAGCACAAAAGGTGTGACTGCATTATTTAATATCAAAAGAAATGTATTATTTAATATCAACTGCTTTTTGTTTACTCGCATAAAGCTTTAAATTTTTGAAAAAGTGGCTACATGTCTTAAAACATGATTGTCTTAAAAAATACTGCAACTGGCCAGTGGCTAGTACCAAATTTTCTTAATTATTGTGATTGCAGAATAGGATTGTAGCAAGTTTTGGCAATTGTAAAGAGGGTATTTTACACATAAAGACCAATTTATTTATCGTTTTAGTGAAATTTACAAGAAGTAATTCACCCGTCAAGTTTGGAAAGAACTCGCTCAATTTTATTTGAAACAAATCGGTTATGACAATTATTTTAATGTTAATAAAGAGCATAAGAAAGTCATTTAAAATATTTAAATATTGGTTTAAGATCATCCAAAATAATTGAAAATAGTTCTTTGGCTCTTTACTCTTTACTCTCCCTTTTCACAACTTTATAATCTTTCGTATCTGTGAACTCTAGTATTCAAAATTATC